TAGAATAGAATAGAATAGAATAGAATAGAATAGAATAGAATAGAATAGAATAGAATTCTTTACTGGCCAAGTGTGATTGGACACACAAGGAATTTGTCTTTGGTGCATAAGCTCTCAGTGTACATAAAAATACATTCATCGAGAATCATAATATACACTTAGTGATAGTCATACGATACTAAATAAGTAATCAAATCTTACTAAGAAATTAAATAAAACAATACAAATTGTAAGGATACAAGCAACACATTTATAGTCATAAGTGGGAGAAGTTAGGTATTAGGAAGGATGAGAATAATAATAATAATATAGTCTTAGTAAATAGTTTGACAGTGTTGTGCAAATTAGTTGTTTAGCAGAGTGATGGCAAAAAACTCGGGGAAAAAACTGTCCTTGCATTAGTTGTTCTGGTGTGCGATGCTCTATAACATCGTTTTGAGGGTAGAAGTTGAAACAATTTATGTCCAGGATGTAAGGGGTCTATAGCTATTTTCACAGCCCTCTTTTTGACTCGTGCAGCATACAGATCCTCAATGGAAGGCGGGTTGGTAGCAATTGTTTTTTCTGCAGTGTCCATTCATTGGATCAGCTGAATTTTGAAGTCGACTTTTCATGTGCGAAGGCTAAATTAATTGTCTTAGTATTTACAGTTCTAAGCAGATAAGATCATTTGGGAATCTAGTATTCTGAATGTGCAGGCACACAGACAGGCCGAGCTAGCAAAATAAAACAGAATAAAATGAGCCGAGGCAGCGAATTAAGTTTGTGTTCATCTTTGTAATTCCATTGTCTGTCTGTAGGTGTCCTCACTTTCCCTCTTTCTAAAGCCATTTTCACAAGTGTCTTAACAATAAGAGTCACAGACGAAAACTTGGTAATATTAAATGTTTCATAAATAAAAAGTTTATCATTCCCAATCTGCTATCCATTTCTTACATTTGCATTTCCTACCAAGTTTAATCCCCATATTCCATTTTAATATTCCTATTATTTCCCAGACAAAAAAACAAGCAACTCATTTAATTTTAGGCAATTGGATGGATAAAAACAAAGGGTGGAAATAGGAGCAGAGTTTTGGGGAATGAGCAGAAAATCCTCAACTTTCATTGGTGGGCCCCAAGGATAGCTTGATTATTATCATTTAATAATTATAATAACTATGATTATTATCATTTAATGATACTAAATGATACTGCTATAGAATGCTGCTGAAAAATATGGCAAGACCAGAAGTGTGCTAGTCTTATCCAGGTCCCTATTCAAATTCTAAATATGAACAGCCGATGAGATTTTCATTACATGCCAAAGCCTGAAGCTGAACTAAAAGGGATCTAGATAATCTAGGATTTAACAATTGTAGCAACATTTCTTAAAAAGAGAAGATTTGGAATTTGTACGACAGCTGTAAGAGAAGGGCAGGCAGAACGAAGAGGTGGCATTAAGCAGGTCGTCAGCCTAGAATCATTAAGTTCCCATAAATGGTCCAAGTCCAACACCTCTTGAATTCTGTTGACTTTTATCTGGTGCCAATTTAACATTGAACTTTCAGTTGACTATTATTATGTATAGGCTTGCGCAGTAAATCTTCTGAATTGGAACTTATATGTTACCCTGATCCTTCCTGCCTGACAGTGTCTGAGTTGAGTAATAGTTTATTGCGGAGGGGGGTGAGCTGACATTTTCTTCAATGGTTGGTGGCTACACCCCATTCCTCAAGGTGGCATCACTGCCTCCCTCAGCTAACATGTTACATTCCCTCTTTGATCAACTGAACAAGCCAGGAGGAACACAGGTTGGATTTATAACTAGTTGAACTCATTCCACAGAGAACCTTGTCCATTTCTTTCTCCGTGAAATATTAGTTGATGGGTTTGTGCCAAAAGAAGTAAGACTTTGCTAGATACCAGGCCCTGAATTATATATAAGACTTCATGTATCATTAAGAATACTTTGAACATGGGAGCAGCTAGTACAGTGGTTCTGGAACAGGGAATCAAACTCAAGGGCCAGGGGGCGGATCCAGCCCATGGGGTACTTAGATCTGGACCTCAGGCCTGCTCTGGAAACAGTGAGGGATCGGCCCACAGGGCCAGCAAAAAGGGAGGCTTCCTGAGCTCCATTTTCGGTGGCTGAGGGCTGCAGGAGGCCATTGTGGCCAAAAACAGATGAGGGACGTCGAGATTGCCATAGCCACTCTGGCACAACCACCCGGCCCCCCAAGGCCAAACATTTGGGGCCAGTTACTCCCTTGAGACCAGCTAGAACATCTACGTCAATCTCTGAGTTGTATCACCCCGTTACAGTATGATAGTCTCCAGAAGAATATTTGTAGCTCAGGGTTGACATGAGGGGATCTTGATACTTTCTGAGCTTGCTTGCTTCCTTGCAGACGTATCAATGCCATGATGATGTGCATCACTGCAGCACTGGTGAGGTTACTTAGTTTGGGTAATGAAACATCTGCCGGAAAAGAATCAAGTTCAGAGACCCTTCATGAAATTGCTAAATAGATGCAACTATAGAAATATTAAAAGGGACGCGGTGGTTCAGTGGCTATGACACTCAGATTGTCAATCAGAAAGGTCGGCGGTTTGAATCCCTAGCGCCATGGAACGGAGTGAGCTCCCATTACTTGTCCCAGCTTCTGCCAACCTAGCAGTTCAAAAGCACGTAAAAATGCAAGTAGAAAAATAGGGACAACTTTGGTGGGAAGGTAACAGCGTTCTGTGCGTCTTCAGTGTTTAGTCATGCCGGCCACATGACCACGGAGACGTCTTCGGACAGCGCTGGCTCTTCGGCTTTGTAATGGAAATGAGCACCACCTCCTAGAGCCAGAAGCGAATAGCACAGATGTGCGAGGGGAACCTTTACCTTTACCTATATAAATATTATTTGTTTTTAAAAAAATGAACCCTCCCCCTGGTAAGGCGCCCAATTCTAACAAAGAAGCAATCGTGTCTATGTCTTGTTCCCTTCTTCTCATAGCAGTCACCAAGAAGAACTTTGAGTTCCTATATACCGTAGCGCCAATCATTTTTGAAAATTCCTTTTGTTTCAAAAACTAGTTTGGTATACCACTCTCTCATTTCGTGCATGGCGAGTGATTATGAGAGGAGCTGGCTCAAAATTCTATGAGCCGATTTAATAAACGTACGAGAGAAATAGCAAAGACAGGGAAGGGGCTTGGGGGACTTTTCTGATGTCAATTTTTTTGCTTTCTGTTTTTCTAGGGACCCTTGGCAACAAAGAGGTGTATGTTTTTAATCTCACCTCCCTCACAAAGTCTGAAAATATCTTGTCTGCTCTGTTGCATTACTACGTTGGAGATCTCCAGAACGGCAGCACCAACTGCCCTCAATCCAACAGCTGCTCTCTTCTGGCCCCCAGAAAATCTGACCTACAGATCAAGCTTTTGCTGTTGAGTTCCCCATCATCAGCAAACCAATCACGAACCCTGGGCCGTTACTTGGTCAACGTCTCCGCTGCTTTACAGGATGACCATTTGTGGCAATGCAAAAACATTACTCAGGACTTGAAGCGAGCGAAGGAGCACAGCCATCTTATGATCGGGGTCCAGATGGCCTCCGTTGGCCAACCTCAATGGAAGAGTCTGCAGCTCAGCTATGAACCGTACATCCTCGTCTACGCCAACGACTCCGCCATTTCAGAACCAGAGAGCGTGGTTTCCAGCTTGCAAGGTCATTGGAATCCACCACCGGGGCCTTTCCCCAAATTGGATAGCCGGTCAATCAATGACCTCAGCGGACAGCGGGCGAAACGTTCCACCAGTTTTCTTCTGCCCTTGCAGAACAACGAGCTTCCGGGAGCTGAGTATCAGTACAGCGAGGACGAAGGGTGGGAGGAGAGGAAGCACTACAAAACCCTGCAGCCACGGCTGGCGGAAAGGTCAAAGGGTAAGAAAAAGCCCAGAAAACACAGTCATCAGAAGAGCCAAATACTCCAGTTCGACGAGCAGACCCTGAAGAAGGCGAGGCGGAAGCAATGGAATGAACCGAGATCTTGCTCAAGACGCTATCTCAAAGTTGATTTTGCAGATATAGGCTGGAATGAATGGATCATTTCTCCTAAAGCTTTTGATGCTTACTATTGCTCAGGTGAATGCCAGTTCCCTATTCCAAAGGTACTGTATCTCTAGTTTTCTTTTATCTTTCTTTTTTTTAAGAAAAAAAAAAGTTATGTTTTTTTTTTCTTTACCGCTGGGTACAATACAAAGAAAATCCTCTCTTTTAAAACTCCAAATGTGGCTTTGTTGAAAAATATCAATTAAAAAAAAACCCAGCTTGCTTGTTATTAAACTACAGTACAGCATGCAGGAAATGGGCCATTTACTAGATGGATAGGATAGAGATATGTTTTAAGGGCCACTGCTGCCATAAACTAAGCACAAAGGCAAAACTGGTAGATGCAGGGTTATAAAAAGAAAATTACAGGGGTGAAATGCATCAAATTTTACAGTAAATCCCAAGACACTGTCAATTTCTTGCTGCATAATAAGGATGCCTCAACTCTTAAAATGCCAATTTAGTTAATCGCTCCGAATGCCATCTCCTGGGTGCCATTTTCTAAAAATATAATAATGTTTAATTCTTTGGGAAAGTTGCAGCTTCTTCCTAAAATATGCTGTTCTGAAAAATAAATACTCTGTATTGATTTAGAATGCCACAGGCCATGAGAAATCCACAGGGATTAAATTGCAACATCAACTTTCAGCGACTTAGATTATGCACAGTAGTTCAGTCAAGTCCTTTGAATCGATGTCATGCAGATTCTCTCGTATCTCAAGGGTGTGCAGTCCTTCCGTTTCTTCCAATGTCAACAAGGCTCAGCTGATGAAAAGTCCAGAGGAATTTCTTGAAACTCATCAATAATTCTCCCAATTAGAAAGCAAACAAAGGAAATATTCCATAAGTCATAAAATCAGTTCCATTCTTATAACATGCAGGGTTGGCAATGGTGCAAGGAAGCTGTTTAAAGAAAATACAGGTAGTTTTCAAATTACAATCACTTGTTTAGTGACTGTTCAAAGTTATGACAGCACTGAAAAAAGTGACTCATGGCCATTTTTTCACACTTACAATCACTTCACCTTTGCGATCAAGATTTGGATGCTTGAAAACTGATTCATATTTATGATGGTTGCAGCATCTTTTGTGTGTTTGTGAGTGTGAGTGTGTGTGTGTGTGTGTGTGTGTGGTGTGATCCCCTTTTGCAACCTTCTGACAAGCAAAGTCAACGGGGAAGCCAGATTCACTTAACAACCACGTTACTTAATTAACAACCGTAGTGATTCACTTAACAAACCATGGCAGGAAAGGTCATAAAAAGGGGCAAAACCTCATTTAACAACTGTTTTGTGTAGCAGTGGAAATGTTGGGCTGAACTGTGGTCATAGGTCGAGGACTACCTGTATTAAGATGATCTCAAATGCACCCAGCAACCAAGCACCAGGTTGGTATTGAGATGGCATTAATGGATCAAGTCAGAAGAATTGAATAATCCTAAAATAGCAATAGCACTTAGTCTTATATACTGCTTCACAGTGCTTTACAGCACTCTCTAAGCAGTTTATAGAGTCAGCCTGTGGCCCCCACAATCGGGTCCTCATTTTACCCACCTAGGAAGGAGGGAAGGCTGAGTCAACCTTGAGCCTGGTGAGAATCGAACTGCCAAATTGCAGGCAGCCAGCAGTCAGCAGAAGTAGCCTGCAGTACTGCACTCTAACTACTGTGCCACTGTGGCTTTTTTTGGCCACTGCACCTCTGGGTCATTATGTTCCTATAAGGCCCAAATTAAGCAGAATTTACAAGCCGTGCTTTTCAAAAATACTTTAAAATCAGGAATGTATTCAAAGCACAATAGCATTCATTTAACTCTCATGGCATTCTCAGAGATATTCAGACTACGTATGTACATTCCTATAGGAACTGACCAGACTGAAAGGGCATTTAAGACATCGTGCTAACCATTTAAAATACATAATCAAGCAATTGCTTTGCATATAAACAGTTGTACACCAGAAATGCACAACTAGTTTTAGAGCACGCGTAATCTTTGGGGAGTGTTCCTGAGTAAAGACAATAAAAAGATGATGTCATCTGGAGAAGAATACACTAGATGCCATTCAGATTTCATTAAAGTAATGAACTGCGTTGATGGCCCACCCTTATTCGTCATTTTCCTCCTCTGCCACGTTCAAAAAAAATATATCACAATTTGGTGGGAACATTTGGAGATCGTTTGTAGCCTCACATTAGGCAGTTTCATTCAGGGGTGGGATGAAACCAGGGGTGGGATGCTACAGTTCTGTGTTTGCTGCTGTTTGGCCTACCTGTCCTTTATTTCCTGCTTTTTCAACCTCAGCTGCTTTGGACGGCACAGCTGAAGTTGAAAAAGCAGGAAAAAAAAGAGGCTTTTCAGACGTTGTGCACCTGCGTGCAGCGCTTTTCAGCTGTCTGGGTGGCACAGCTGATGGTTTTTTTACACGCGCACACAGCTTAGTCACCAAACCGGTAGTATAACACCGATCGAATCCCACCCCTGGTTTCATTGTATTTCAACCTATTGCCATGTTGGTTAATGTTTGTATTATGTCAGGGCTTTATACGTTCCTTTCCTTCTCCAGTTCCACATATTCAGCTAGACATTTCCATTCCAGGGTGCACTGAGAATGTATAGTCACCAAAGTATATTTATTCAGTTTCACTGCAGACTTGCTAACATTTCAGGGTAGCAAGAGAATATTAATGAATATTAGGCTCCGTGCCTCTGGAATGCAAGCAGGTACCTTAATAAATTGTCAGCAGACTGCGTTTGCAAGAACATCTTCTGAATTGAAGCGGGTGTGAGAGGCAGTGTTTGGAAGCTGAATTCCACAAAGGGCAGAATTTCGCTGCCTTAAGTTCCAGGCGTGACTCAATCTGAAACAAGTGCTTTTCCCATACCTAAAACCGGTATCTGTCTGGACTGTTTATTTTGTATTATTGTTATTAGTTTATAATATAAAATACAAGAATGCAAAAGCAAATAATAGGAAAAATAAGGGAGGAAGAAGGGAAGAGAAAAGCATAGAGAAGAAGGAAAAAAGAAAGAAAAGGCGTTGACTTCCAATTCCCTTCTGTGCAACAGAATAAAATAAAACCTCAACTTTTTTATTTTCACATAATAGTTTAAACTAGGCGTTTCTATAGGAACAGATCAATCTAATCAGCAAAACCTAAAATCAAACTTTCATTCCCCCCCGCACCTTGTTCTGACCCAAACCTTGTTCCAAGGACACAAACACAAAACGGAGGTAACAGCAAAACCTTCTAATGATTCTTTACGAATTCCATTCCTTCCCAGTTAAAAGGATGTTTCAAACTAATTGTCTCTGATAAGAACAAGCCTTGCCAAAGTTGTGCAAGGCTGCCAAGAACACTAGATAAAGTTGCCAAGAAATATTTCAAACACAAAGAGTCTCCAAACACAAACTAAGAGAGTCCAAACATCCACAAGGCTTGAGTACAAAAACTTCTTTGCTTCCTGCAAAGAACTCTGGTTTCTCAGCTGGCTTTTATCTCTTAAGGGAGGGGCCATTACCTTGCAGCCTTACTCCCAAGTCGCCCATGCTACTACAGCTGCTCGTTCCTTTGAGCAGCGCTGCGTGCACGCACATTGGGCACAGGCTCCTCCTCGGGGTCCTCTGCATCACTGCTGCCATCCTCCACAATCACTGAAGGCAGCATTCCACTCCCTGATGGTCCTGGCCCCATCCCTGCATCACATGCAGGCCCTTCATCCGAGCCCTCGCTCTCTAAGACCTCAGCTGTCAGCACCTCAAGCACAAAGTCCAGAAGCGGTTTCCAAGTAGAAGCGGTTTCTTTTATCAAAGCAATCCATTTAGCCATCTGCTAACTCCATCAACTTCTGCAACCATTCATCCATTGTGGGGATTGAACTGTCCTTCCATTTTTGTTGCCATCCACATATATCTGTCTGGACTGTTTCAAAGGAATTCTGCAGTGTGATGGCACAGGTGTTGAGGTAATTCCCCGTTAGGAGAATGAGCGCATACAGGGAGACGTAGTGAGAGAAGTGAAGAATAACACACACAGCACACAGATACACTGTACAGTAAATGTAGGTTTTTACTTCCCATAAACGTTTAAGCTAAGTCCAAACAAGCAGTGCAAGTCGTTCACAGGTAAAGCAGCCGGTGTTCAGTTCAGGGATAATCCAAATATCAAAGTCCAGTATCAAAAACAGTTCAGTAACAGACTTACATCAACAATCAGTAACAGTCATTAGGAGGAACGGCAACACTCTCCAACAGAAGGAAACAGAGACTCACACTGGGACTAAAACAACCCAGGTTTCTGGCTCCATCTTATGGCCATTTGAGAAAACACACCCAACTACAATTTTTGCATTTTCCTAAAGATACGATATTGAAATGTCTATCCTGGTTTATATATTTCCAACTCAAATACCTGTTAGGCGACCTACATTCTTAACAACAGGCCTTCGGGCTTTAATGCTTAGCGGCTTGCGGAATTAATTCCAGATGCTTTGAAGTTACCATTATTACTGAGGACCCTGAGCAATATCTGTACAAAATACTTTTTTGAAGTTTCCAAATATCAGTAGAAATCAAGGCCTTGACAGAGGCAGTTAAGGAGAAATTTCCTGACAATTAGAACAATTAAATCATTTAATAGCTTGCCTCCAGAAGTTGTGGGCTCTCCATCACCAGGTGATTTTTAAGAAGAGATTGGACAACCATCTGTCTGAAATAGTGTAGGCAGGGGTGGGCTTCAGAAATTTTAGCAATGGGTTCTCTGCCTGGTTGCTGGGTGGGTGTGGCCATGGTGGGCGTGGCCTAGTCGGCCTGCACCACAGTGTGTGGGGGGGGAGTTTTTGCCCTCCCTGGGCTCTGGAGGCTTTCTGGAGAAAACGGCCTCCCGGGGCTCCGGAGGCTCTCTGGAAGCTGGAAACTGGCCCATTTTTGTCCTTCCCAAACTTCCAGGAGGCCTGTTCTTTCCCCTCCCTGAGCCTCCGCGCACACCCTGCACTTACCTGCATCCAAAACGGCCCGTGTGGGGACTCCTGGGAGGGGAGGGGTGGGGTGGGTGGGGCCAGCCAGGAGCGGGATTTGGGGGTTCTCTGAATTGTACAGAACCTTAGCCAGGGGCTCCCCCGAACCCCTGCAAACCCCCAGCAGCCCCACTCCTGGGTGTAGGGTTTCCTAATTAAGCAGCGGGTCGGACTAGAAAGCCCTCTAAGGTCCCTTCCAACTCAAAAAATCTTGGAAAGCAATCAAAGGGAAGGGAAAGACATAAGAAAAGGAAACCGAATAGGAAAAGGAAAGAATTTTTCACAGAATAACATCTTTTTCCTATTTGGTTCCCTTTTTCTTATCCCTTTTCTTTCCCTTCTATTGCTTTCCAAGCTTTTTTATTCGTTGGTTTATAAAAAAAAAACCCAACAACCTCCAGTTTTCCAGGAGAAAATTCAGAAGAAAAAGGAGAGAGCAAAACTTTCGCTCTTCCCGAAGGCCCTTAAGGTCTAAATAGCAATCCAACATGCTGCGTGTGTCACTTATGAAGCACTCATTGCATCCTGTTTGTCAGATCAAGATTTGAATCCCTACTGGAGAATAGCTTGACCCCTTCCTCCTCTCTGTGGCAGCCCCTCAGATATTGGAAGACTGCTCTCATGTCTCCCCTGGTCCTTCTCTTCACTACACTAGCCATGCCCAGTTCCTGTAACCATTCATCGTATGTTTTAGCCTCCAGTCCCCTCATCATCCTTGTGACAACAGGATATCTGTCTGAATATTTCCTGACATTTGTTTCATTTCCGTCTACCATTTTATGACCTTTCACGAAGCCTTCAAGGCAGCTAACAATTATTTTTAACAACTCGGTCATTGAGAATATTGCATAATAACAAAATTAAATCAGACAAACTAAAACATAACCAATACTGTCATGACAGTTCACTCATGCAGCTGATGTCACATTTCCCAAAACCATTTTTCTTCTGCTATTCCTCCTTTTACTTGCGCTTTCCTCCAAATTATGTTTAGGGTGGTTTCCCCAGCACATTGCAGCGTTTATAAATACAAGTCAGTTGTCAAGAATTTTGATCATGTGATCATGGGGGGAAAAACTGTAAAAATTGTAAGTTTGAACTTGGTCTTAAGTTATTTTTTTCAGTGCTGTTGTAACTTTGAACAGTCACTAAACAAACTGTTGTAAGCCAAGGACTATCTATAATCCTGAATCTTCGAGCATGACACAATTTCTAATTTTTGGAATTCTTCAGGAATTTCAAATTCTTCCTTAATAATTTGCTACGTTTCATTTTACTACATTTCAATTCTGTTATTTGTTTTATTGCAACAACCTCCCCTTTCAATAACATGTTTGTATTGAATAAACTAGTTTGTTAATAAGCACATTAGTTCAAGCTTACAAATACATTTTGCAAATAATTGTAATCCGCAGTTTTTTTCCCCCGTCCCATCTGTTCCTACTGCATTAGTCATCTGCAGTTATACTGACAATTTATTTACACAAAATCTTGGTCAATGAGATGTGATTCAAGGGAAGTGCAGGTGACCAAGCAAATTGCTACTTTACAAATCTATACGAATTTTGTTTTTTAGGAGGCCAAATGGCATGTCACATTATAGTGACTTTTTGAATAACAGCGAAAACATCTCCAGGCAGAGGAGCTGCTAATCATTTTTCCGCCATAGTAGGCTTCTTTCAATATAATAAAAGACCACTTCCTTTCAAAATGTCATTTTAAAGAAGAGGATTTTCTGAGAAATTCTTGAAGAATCTTGTGATAAAGACAAGTTAATTAAGTAGTTAAAACATTAAATCAGTGAAATGACTTGCCTACAGAAGCTGCCAATGCTCCAACACTGCAGGTTGTCAAGAAGAGACCTGAACAATCATTTGTCTGAAATGGGATAGGGTTTCCTGCCTGAGCAGGGGGGTGGACTAGAAGACCTCTAAGGTACCTTTCAACTGTGTTATTTTGTTCCTTTCTGTTCTGTGAAGCTGTAAACATCCTGTTTTCATTGTACAATTGTTTCTCCCGTAATCTCCAAATTCTGGTTTCTCAACTCTTCAATGAAATCTCAGCAAAGAAAATTCTTTGAAAAAAAAAGAAATATTTTCAGCAGAATGTTTGAAAGACAAAAGTTGTTTCAGTTTAACTTAAAACCTTCTCCAAATGATATTCTGAGAGAGGCTGGGTGTCGAAGTTCTTCTAACTTTCTGAACGATCATAAGGGGCCACCCATCAGTTCGTGACACCCCAGAAGGGACATGGATTAGTTTTAGGGATAGGGGACTGGTTGGGGGTAAGGGAATTATAAGTGGGACTAGAAGGAGGCAGGTGCTACCAATGCAGGTGGTCCTCAACTTATGACCACAATTGAGTGCAGAATTTCTGTTGTTAAGCGAGACAGTTTTTAAGTGAAATTTGCCCCATTTTACGACCTTTCTTGTCACAGTTATTAAGTGAATCATTACAGTAACATGTTTGTAAAGTGAATCTGCCTTCCCCATTGATTTTTCTAGTCAGAAGGTTGCAAAATGGGAAAGCACATGACCCCAAGACACTGCAGCCAGGGGTGGGATTCTACCAGTTCGCACCTATTCACTAGAACCGTTTGTTAACATTCTAAGCAGTTGGGAGAACCGGTTGTTAGAAGAAATTACTGGCCTAATCCTGTAAGGAAGGCAGGAAGGAAACATTCTGGTGTTGCTTACAGAAACTGCCTTTCCGTTAACCCTTATTACAGTCTTGGCAGGACTAGACTTCCTGTCCCAGGAACTTCTCTGGAGTTTTTTTCCCCTCCTTTGCTGGTACTTTGCTTGTGTGGAGTGACCATTCAAAGTTACAATGGCACTGAAAAAAGTGACTTATGACCATTTTCCACACTTACGACTGTTGCAGCATCCCCACAGTCACGAGAGGCCAGGCGAGGAGATGCGTGCCTCGATGTGAGTGATGTTGAGTTGGCCACACCCAGCCAGTCACATGACCACCAAGCCACACCCACCAACTAAGCCACGCCCACAGAACTGGTTGTTAAAAAATTTGAATCCCACCCCTGACTGCAGCCATCATAAATATGAGTCAGTTGCCAAGTGTCTGAATTTTGATCAGAAGAACATGGGGATGCTACAACGGTCATGTGTGAGAAATGACCATAAGTCACTTTTTTTCAGTGACATTGAAACCTCAAACAGTCACTAACTGTTGTATGTCGAGGACCGCCTGTAATATCTTTGAAGCCTCCGCAGATCCCTGCCATTGTTGGCTAATGCTGGCCATACGGTCCAAAGGAATTAAGAAATAGCTACTTCCAGATAACAGATAATCAGAGTTGGAAGGGACCTTGTAGGTCATCTAGTCCAACCCCCTGCCCAAGCGGGAGACCCTAAACCATTTCTGACAAATGGCAGTCCAATCTCTTCTTGAAGGTCTCAAGTGATGGCGCTCCCACAACTTCCGAAGGCAACTTCCGTTCCATCGGTTGATTGTTCTCCCTGCCAGAAAGTTTCTCCTTATTTCCAGGTTGAATCTCTCCTTGTTCAGTTTCCATCCATTATTCCTTGTCTGGCCTTCAGGTGCCTTGGAAAATAGCTTGACCCCTTCCTCTCTGTGGCAGCCCCTCAAATATTGGAAGACTGCTATCATGTTCAGGGATTCAGGGACAGTGATTTCTAGCCAATTGTTTTCAGCTCTACCTCTAGCACAGTGTTTGTCTACCTCAATGGATTTAAACGTGTGGACTTCAACCTCCTGTAATTCTCCAGCCAGCACCCTGACTGTGACAATTCTGGAAACTGAAGTCCGTTTATCTTCAAATTGCTGAGAAATACTGCTCCAGGAAGTCCAAAGGTGCTTTTTCAAGAGGCAACTGGGCTTCCTGGTTTTTATTTGAAGAGGTTTCGCTTCTCATCCAAGAAGCCTCTTCAGCTCTGAAAGGATAAGTGGGGGATGAAATCTAGTCAGAGCCGAAGAAGCTTCTTGGATAAGAAGTGAAACGTCTTCAAAAGGAAGAAACAAGAAACTCCAGTTGCCTCTTGAAAAAAGTACCTTTGGGACAACCATGACCAGGATGGCTGAGAATCTCCATAAATAAATGCTCCCGGAAAGTGCAGTTTCCCAGCTGAATTGATAACCATTTACATTTGTAGTACAATTAGTCATCGACCTACAGACACAATTGAGCCCAAGTTTTCCATTGTTCAGTGAAACACTTAAGTGAATTTTGCTCCATTTTATGACATTTCTTGCCACAGTTGTTAAGTGAATCACCACGGTTGTTAAGCTAGTGGCACAGTTGTTAAGCGAATCGGGCTTCCCCATTGACTTTGCTTGTCAGAAGGTCACATGACCCCAGGACACTGCAACGGTCATAAACATGAACCAGTTGTCAGTCAGTTGAATATTGATCACATGACCACAAGGATGCTACAACAGTCGTAAGTGTGAAAAACGATCACCTTTTTCAGTGCCATTGTAACATTGAACGACCACTAAGCGAACTGTTGTAAGTCAAGGGCTACCATAATTCATTACTTCCAAAGAACCAGGTGTTTTGTGCCCTGTGTCAGCCTTGGAAGCCATATTTTACTTGGAAGCTTCGAGGCTGCCACATTCAGTGCCTGGGAAATTGGGAGGCAGGATTTCATAGTGGGGTAGAAGATTAGACACAACAACATTCTTTCTCAGAGAGTCAAGGACATGCTGCCCTGCACCTGGAAGGGAGGGGCTGGGAGGAAGTCTTCAGATTGAATGAAGACTTGATTGGACCATGGGATGGACTGGCGGGTACAGGGGGATGGATCTTTGGTTTCTCTTTTGGGAAGGGAACTCTCCGTTTTCCCACATGTGCCAACATGACTTCTCTAATAAATTCTTACTTGGATGAACTGTCTCTGAATGCTGAATTGAGGTGGAGAATGTGGTTAGAACACCGACACCCTACTGGTCATGTGTTGAGTTTTCTTATTTGTCCTCTTTTTCTACAGGCCCTGAAGCCATCCAACCACGCGACCATTCAGAGCATAGTCAGAGCCGTAGGGGTAGTTTCTGGCATCCCGGAGCCTTGCTGTGTTCCAGACAAGATGTCATCGCTTAGCATTTTATTCTTCGATGAAAACAAAAATGTGGTACTCAAAGTGTATCCAAACATGACAGTGGAATCCTGTGCCTGCAGATAACGTTCCTACTTTTTACGGCAACTTTGTGGCTTCATAAACCTCTCCTCTTTCCATTTACCAAAAGCATACTGTTGTCCAGTTTTACGAACGGATAAGTAAGCAAGAGATGAGAAGAGACATGGAATAGGTTTTCCCCCCAACGGTAATTTTCCTACTTGTGAGCATAGGGAAGAAACCTTGGAAAACTCACCAACAGGAGCAAATAATGTGGGGAGGTTTTCAGTGGATGGTGGGGGGGAAGATAGGAAAATGAAAACTGGAAAGAATTCCATCAGGAACTGAAGATTAGCAGGAAAACACAATTTATGTTTTATGCTGTGCTCGAAGACCATTCACCCAAGCTGCTGGTTTCTCCAATCCATTCTTCCAGAATGGAATGGTAAAGGAGGTTTAATATATGTATTGTGCTTTTGAAGCTTTCTACTTTAGATTATACGAAGACTCGAATATACCATAAGCTAGTAAGATCCTACTTCCCATGTTTCAAAGATTCAAATAATCTTTTTTTAAAAATATAACCTGTTGATTTTCTTGGCATAATTTACCAGTTGTGTTCTGTTCTACCCCTCACAAAAGCATTCATTCTTAAAATAACAGGAACTTTTTATCTAAAAGCAGAACTGCATTTCTGGTGTGTATTTAGTAAAGATTACACCTCTGTTTGTTACAAAATCTTGATCTCTTGATCTCAGTACTGAATACCAGAAAGAAGAGATAAACAGGTTGAGTTTCAAGTTTTAGTTTGCCAGTCAATTATGGTAGTCTATAATTGCAATAACCGTTTCACAATGGGAATTGCGCAGCACACTTATACACTTTCAGGATATTATGGGTAGGGAATCAAGATGGCAGCCATGGCCATAGGATTGATGCTGCCATTTTGACTTTTTATTACCCAGCTTTTGAGAACCTGACATAATAGTCACTCTGTGAGGGAGACTGATGGTTTGTAAATGTGATATATATTTATATATATATATATAAATAAAACAATACTCAAGCCCCAGTAGGGAAAACTTCCAGGGTAATGGGTATAAAACTGCGGCCTATCCAGGTGATGAGCTATACAAACTGAAGTCATGGATTAAAGAAAATATAACAAATATGTTTAATGCATGTCCCATTTGGGAAGGGAGCAGATAAATTCTTAACTAGGACCTGGATCATCAAAGTTGAAACACCATTCCTAGATTTATTGGGTTGGTTTCAACATGTTGTCTGAACTCATCCACTGTGAAGATGTTCTGTGGCTTTATAAGCTAGGTGAATTGTGATGTATTTAATGAACTATGGTTAAACCATGGCTTAGCAAGATGTATGAACTCAGTTTTGCTCTCAGAATCTATTTCAGTCTGAAAATGGAGTCACCCCTGTTAGTTAGAGGCAGCTGTGCCAATAGACAGAATCCATATGTGTTGCTGAAAGGATAGTCAAGGTGGCAGCCACAATAAAAGCATAGCTATTAGAAGCAAGCAGCCATTACTTGTCATGAAAAGCCAAAGCCAGTAGTTTTATGGTTTGCCACACATATTACAAGAATCTCCCTAGACTGCTTGCATTCCCAGGAATGACCAAATAAAGCTGCAAAGATTTTGGGAGAGGTGAAACTTGCACGTTTGCGGCTGTGCAAGGTTTCCAAGCTAAGCCCTAACTTGACCCCTCCTTCCAGGCTAACGGGCAGTTTTCCAACACTTGTCCTCTTCTTTACACACATTGTGCATGTAAAACTTATTTACAAGGGGTGGTGCTTCAAACTTGTCCTAATAGCCATTTTGACATTTTTGACACACACAAACCCATTTCAATGACAACATGCATAATTATGTAGACCATAGATCTTGGGTTTCCAAAGCAACTTTAAGACTTGTTGACTTCATGGCTAGCGGAGGAATTCTTGAAGTTCACAAGTCTTAGAGTTGCCAAATTTGGAGGTCCCTGACCTAAATCATTTGGAAAGGTGAAGATCTGGGTTTAAATCTACCACTGCATCTTCTGCATCTTACAGAAGATGGAAAGTGCCTTCCGTAGTCTACCGAAAGCCTGGGACAATTTTCTTGCACCCAGGCAAAACTGAAGCAGTGCAAATGGGGTTTTTCAGCTTTAATTTCTTTAAGAGAGACGAGTTGCAGATTCAAAACGTTGAATACTGTTTTAAGGAACAGCCAATTCATTTGTGATTAATCTTACCACCTCCTCGTCTGTGTAAAATGTATATAAATGATGAAATAAGACTTTTGTACATTTTTTTTTGTTTAAGAAAAAATGCTTGTACAGTTGGCACCAGTATAGTTTTTAAAAAGCCAAATGATATTTGTATATGGAAAGAAGCTTTTATCAATGCATTTAATTTATTTCTAATGCATATGTTAAGTAATTTCTGCATTTTAGTACTCTTAAAACACACAGCAGTTTTTATATTCATTTCAAAAATTTATATATCTATATATCTGCCTTCAAAAGTAAATGTGTATATCCCAGATCACAAATAAGGATATTTTCATTACTAATATACTGTATAAGCCTGTCTGATTTGTTGGTTTCTCTCCTTTAGTTAACAATGCTTTTTTCCCACAGCATATTATTGTGTACAAGATTATGGCTTTGCAAAACAGCATAGTATGAAGTTTAGGACTCTTGTTTATTTTCTAGTAACTACAAAAAATATTTGTGACAAAATCACTGCAGTCTGCAGTTGTTAGAGAGATGTGGAAGTATATATTTTTGTGTTTCTGTATTCTAAGCCAGCAGTCGCTGGTGGGCCATGAGAAAATTTTGGTGGGCCGCAGAGGAATCTCACCCCCAGAGCACACCCCCCCCAAAGCAATTAATCCAGCCTGCACGAAAACACAAGGCTGCTCTGCCCACATGGCCCATGGGAACCTTCCCCGCCCACTCATTCTTTACCCGGCAAACTTGCCTGCTAAATTGCTATTTTCCCATTTTCCAACCATCAGCTGTTCTGCTGTGCTGGGAGATTTAGATTAGCTAGTTGGATTTCTTGCTTTCTAGCTCATGTTTAGATCTTCGGCTCTGCTTTTAAGCGCAGCCCAACCTCCCTTAGGACTGAAGGTTCTATGATTCAGTGCAGACTCACGCAAGCAAATTTTATGTAACAGACTGAGCTAGCCAATGGCAGATAGATAGATCACTGAATGATTCTGTGAGCAACTCAATCTGCCTGCCTGCTTTGCCTGATTTGGGGTAAAAGTTGCTCTTTTTTTATAAAAAAAATCAATATTTATATAAATGTTTATAATATTTACATAAAAGTCATGCCAAGCCAGTCACATGACCACCAAGCCACACCCACAAATTAGGCCAGTTAGTGGTTCCTGGGATTTAAAATTATGAGTTTGGTGGTCCCTGAGGTCCAAAAGGTTGGCGACCCCTGTTCTAAGCTATCTAATTCGCACTTCCTGGGCAAATATTAGTAGTCCTTGACTTACGACCACATGAAACTTTTGTTGCTTAACAAGAGAATCATTAAGTGAGTTTAGCACTCATTTAGTGACCATTCGAAGTTACAACAGCACTGAAAACAGTGACCATTTTTCACAGTTATGACTATTGCAGCATCCCCAAGGTCACATGATCCAAATTCAGACACTTGGCAACGGACTCCTATTTATGACGGTTACAGTGTCCCGGGGTCACATGATTTCCCTTTTGACAAGCAAAATTAATGGGAAATTTATTTAACAACCACACTATTAACTTAAACAAGTTAAGTGATTCACTTAACTGGGGCAAGAAAAGTCATAAAACTCTATGTCAGAAAGATCTCCTGATATTTTCCCCTCTCAGAATGTTTTTTAAAAATAAAAACAGCTCAGATCCAATTTGATGAAAGGGACTTTGCTTTCATTTTTTTGAAAGAGGAAGATAATCTAAGAAAAATTCTCAAGAGCCAAGTGAAGATTTCCTGTGTATAATTAGTGTTGAGTCAGGCTGAGGGTGTGAATGTCCAACTCTCCATTCTTGGCAACCTGCTTAGTGCCTAATACTTAATTAAATCCAAACAGAAGATCTCATCTGAGAGATCTTGCAAGACTTTCAAGGACAGATGGCTCATTATCGGTTTGCCCACCCCTCTAATCTCGGTATCCTGCATGGGATCTAGCACAATTAAATCCAAACAGAAGAGCTCATCTGAGAGCTCTCCCTTTCCTCCCTCCCTCCCTCCCTCTTTCCCTTCCTTCTTTCCTTCGTTTCTTCGCTCCTGGCTCCCTTCCTCTCTCCCTTTGTTCCTTCCCTTCCTCCCTCCCTCCCTCCCTCCTTTCCCTCTTCTTCTCTCCCTCCCTCTCTCCCTTTCATTCCTTCCCTTCCTCCCTCCCTCTCTCCCTCCTTTTCTTCCTTTCCTCCCTCCCTCCCTCTATATCTATCTATCTATCTATCTATCTATCTATCTATCTATCTATCTATCTATCTATC